TACTACTACTGCTGCTACTACTACTACTACCACTACGACTATTATTACTATTACTCCTACTACTACTACTACTATACTACTACTACTACTACTACTACTACTACTACTACTACTACTACTACTACTACTACTACTACTACTACTACTACTACTACTACTACTACTACTACTACTACTACTACTACTACTACTACTACTACTACTACTACTACTACTACTACTACTACTACTACTACTACTACTACTACTACTACTACTACTACTACTACTACTACTACTACTACTACTACTACTACTACTACTACTACTACTACTACTACTACTACTACTACTACTACTACTACCACTGCTACGACTACGACTACGGCTACGACTACCACTACTACTACTACTACTACTACGACTACTACTACTACTGCTGCTGCTGCTACTACTACTACTACTACTACTACTACTACCATTACCACTACTACTACTACTACTACTACTACTACTACTACTACTACTACTACTACGACTACTACGACTACCACTACGAATACTTCTACTGTTAATCGCAGAATGCATTGATACGGTCGACATGCTGAGAAAACATGTCAACTACCATTGGTACTCGGCCAGGTAGTGGACAATAAAATCACACCAACCTTCTGGGCGTAGGTGGTCTAGAACGTTTTCTGTTCCAATCCATGTTTTCCTTTTCGGGGAGGGGTTAATCACTGCTCCTGGTTAGTATACACGCCCTCCCCCACCCGACCCGGAACCATGCCGACTCCATGCGGGCCCGCCCCGCACCATCCCTGTCAAAACACAGTACGAGCAGCACTTTGCCTCCACATTTGGAGCATACGCGGCCAACCCGATGCGGCCCCCGCCCCCACCATTCCTGTCAAAAAAGCAACGCGAAGTACACTTTGAGGCGAAGTCTTGAGTCTTGTTCGTGAGGCCCGCGAGCACGGTGTATTGTTTTTGACAAGGACGGCGGAGGTGTCAGCATATTCCCTGCTGTGCGCAGGGAAACCATCTTTGACAAAACTCAATACAACATTCACTTCGCGACTGAATCGGGATCATGCGCGGCCATCCCACGATCACTGTCAAGTGGTTATTGACAGGGACGGCGGGGGTGGTGTCGCGTGGCCTGCGCATGCCCGCCAAACACTAAGCTGGGTATTGGTATTCGATAAGAATTACGGGGGCCGACATGTTTCCCGATGTGTGGTGTCACGTGAGCAGGCGCACCTGACGGACTTTGCACGTGCCCCAAACGTGGCGCACCTGGCGCGGCTGGAATGTGCGGCGCACCTGGCGCACTCGGGGCACGTGGCGCATCTGGCGCACCAGGCGTGCCTGGCACGTTCGGGCCCCAGGGGAACCTGGCGCGCGTGGCGCCCCTATCACGCGTGGCGCACCTCGCCCAAGCGTCGCTCACCTGGGGTCGGCTTTGGTTCGCAATAGCTGCCCGTCCAGAGACGACCGCTGGACATGCTCAAACCCGAGTGTTACCTATGTGTGGAGAGGGCCGGTGGGAGTGAGCTAGACTGCTTGCGGGCGGGTGGGTAGCTTGATCACTGCTCCCACTTAATAAACACCCCCATCCCCCGCCTGGCTGGCAGCCAACGTGGAACCATGCGGGCACCCCCCCAACCATCCTTTTTCAAAAAACAATACACAATGCACATTGCGGGGCCCACCCTGCCAACACCCTCCACAATCCCAATCCAAAAAACAATGTGAAATGCACATTGCAGCAAAATCTGAACAGTGCGCCGGCGCCTTGCGAGCACGTTGTATTGTTTTTTGACACCGATTGCGGGGCACCCTTACTGAATCCGCTTTGTGCAGGACCACCATCCGTGTCAAAAACAATGCAAAGTGCACGTTGCGACAACGTCCTGGGTATTGTGCTGACCACCCGCGATCACTTTGTATTGTTTGTTGATTGGGACGGCGGCGGTGCCCGCATGATGATGCTTGCTGTGCGCAGGCCCAGAACAATGCTGACGCCACCCACATCAGCATCTGGACCACGCGGACGGGGGGGATTACGTTGTTCCCCCCAAACCATCATGTGGTGTTGGGTCTTCGTTTTGAAGAGACGGTGCCCCGCGTTCCTGTCCTCTCCTCCTTCCTCCTCCTCCTCCCCTCCTCCTCCCTCGTCCCTGCGTTTCACCCACCCAGTGCAACGCTTCGTGGCCCCATGGTGAGCCCCACCGAAGGCCCTGGTGGCAGGGTTCGCGTGGCGGTTTCGGGCAATTTCGACACACCCATCAAGAGGACCGTGGCCCCATAGGGAGCTCCACCGAACGTCCCAGTGGCAGGGTTCGCATGGCGGACCCGGGCCATTTCGGCACACCCCTCACAAAGATCGTGGCCCCATAGGGAGCTCCACCGAAGGTCCCAGTGGCAGGGTTCGCATGGCGGCCTCGGGCCATTTCGGCGCACCCCTCACGAGGATCGTGGCCCCATAAGGAGCCCCACCGGAAGCGCCAGCGGCAGGGTTCGCATGGCGGCCTCGGGCCATTTAGGCACGCCCCCCACGAGGATCGTGGGCAGAAAAAAACCAACCGAAGGCGCCAGTGGCAGGGTTCGCATGGCAACCTCGGGCCATTTCGGCACACCCCTCACGAGGATCGTGGCCCCGTAGGGAGCTCCACCGAAGGCTCCAGTGGCAGGGTTCGCACGGCGACCTCGGGCCTCGGGCCATGTCGGCACACCCCTCACGAGGATCGTAGCCGCATAGGGAGCTCCGCCGAAAGGCTCCGGTGGCAGGGTTCGCATGGCGGCCCCGGGCCATTTCGGCGCACCCCTTCACGGGGATCGTGGCCCCATAGGGAGCCCCACCGGGGGCGCCAGTGGCAGGGTTCGCATGGCGGCCTCGGGCCATTTAGGCACACCCCTGATGAGGATCGCGGCCCCATAGGGAGCCCCGCCGAAGGCGCCATCGGCAGGGTTCGCACGGCGGCCTCGGGCCATTTCGGCGCACCCGTCGCGAGGATCGCGACCGCATAGGGAGCTCCGCCGAAGGCTCCAGCGGCGGGGTTCGCATGGCGGCCTCGGGCAATTTCGGCGCGCACCCCGCGAGGATCGTGGCCGCGCAGGGAACTTCATCGAAGGCGCCACTAGCAGGGTTCGCGTGGTTGCCTTGGGCCACTTCGGCGCACCCCCCGCAGGGGTCGTGGCCCCATAGGAACTCCAGCGAGGGCGCCAGCGGCAAGGTTCGCATGGCGGCCCCGGGGCATTTCGGCACGCCCCTCACGAGGATCAAGGCCCCACTGGAGCTCCAGCGAAGGCGCTAGTGGCAAGGTTCGCATGGCGGCCCCGGGCCATTGCAGCACGCCCCCATCACGAGGATCGTGGCCCCATAGTTATGCTGCTCCAACAACCGCGCCTGGGCGTCGTTATCCGCCTTGTCGACGTGCGCGCCACCCCCTCCCTCATAGCTCTCAAAGCCCTCTCCTGCTTCTGCTCGTCGGTCAGAGGGACGCCGTCCTTGTCGTCGTCGGCGCCTGCGGAGACGGCCACGAACGTGTTCCTGAACATGTCGGGCTCTGGCGGGAAGCCGTGGCCACAGAGGAGGCGCGGGCGAATATGGCATTCACAATTGCAGTATTCACAACTGCATATGGTTGGGTCCTTCGCCAGGCTATTATTTTTTGGCAAGGATGGCCCACCAACCGCATGTGGAGCCCACGGCGAGCGTCGCGCACCTGGCGTCCGCTTTGGTTCCCAGTGGCTATCCATCCAGTGGCGACCCCTGGCTATCCCGAGACTCGAATGCCACTAATGTGGTGGGAGGGCGGGTTGGAAAGAGCTATACGGCTTGCGTGCGGAGAGGGTGTCCTGACCCGTCCCCAACCCCTTCCCCTGGACCTGGACGGGGGGTTCCGCGACGCGTTGGAGCGTCCAACAGGGCCCAGCATGGCTTGGGGAGGGCCTCAGGGGGCCCCAGATGACTTCCAAGATGGCTCCCAAGATGCTCCAAGAGGCCCCACGACCGCCCCTAGACTGCTCCGAGTGGCCACGGAGCCTTCCCAAGAGGCCGAAATCCTTCAAACACCGGAGGCAAACACATGATATGTACCTTATCGCCTTTTCGCTTCCGATGGCCTTCCGAGTCATGGGCCCCAAAAGAAGCCCAAGAGAGCCTCAAGACGGCCCCAACAGCGCTCAGAACACCACAAGAAGGGCCCAAGAGGCGATTGTAGGGCTCCCGAGGGGGGAACGTAATTAAGGCTCCCATGTGTTTTGATCGATCTCCTCCAAGATGGCCCCAAGAGCGCTCCCAAGGCTCCCAAGAGCGCTTCAAGAGGGCCCTCAGAGGCGCCCAGGAGGCCCCCAAAGGCGCCCAAGAGGCCGCCAAGAGGTTCCCAGGAGACCCCCGAGAGACCCCAAGAGGCTCCCCGAGGCACCCAAGACGCCCCAAGAGGCTCCCCAAGAGAGGCCCAAGACAGCCCAAAGACGGCCTCGAGAGCGCCCAGGAGTGTCCCAAGAGCGCACCAAGAGGGACCCTTCCTCTGTGTGCTGCCTACTTCCCTGGTCGAGGCAACTCCTCTGGGCATCGTTTCTGGATGGGCTGGTAGGGTTACGCGAAACGTCAAGAAATCGTCCTCGCCGCCCCCCACCGCTGACCAAAAGTGTCCTGGCCGGAGACAATGAACATCGTGGCCTTCAGGTTGGGTGGAAAAAATCCAACAAAAAAACACGTCCTCATGAACCGCTCCCCTTACGGCGGGCCAATGATCCCCCTTCACTCGGGGCTGCGGCGGACGCCGGCGGCGAGCCCCTGGGATGGAGGTAGTCCTCGGGGACTACCACCAATGACATGGACATAAAAACTCGGAGGTACGCGCGTATTTCTCGGATCGGTGCTGGGCACCCCTGGCGGCACCTCTGGCTCAGCTCCTGGCGCGCTCCGCGCGCCACGGAATGGGGTCACAGCGCCGATCCGAGAAATCAGGTCGGATTTCCGATTTTTTATGTTCATGTCATTGTTGGTCCCCCGCAGTCCAGCCCCTCCAGCACCTGCCTCGCGATCGGCGTGGCGGCCGGCGGCGCCATCGCGCCGTGTTTCCTGGCGCCGGGTCGCCACTCGGGATCCGGCGCTAGTCGTCGGCGCCGGGTGTCGCGCCCTCGGCCCTCGAGTCGCCCCTCCTCCTCCTTTCAGCCTATCAGCCTTTGACCTACATGATCCGACGGCGTGAAACCAGCAGCAGAGAGAGAGAGAGAGGGAGAGCGAGCGGGCGGGGCAAAACTACGGCAGCACAGAATCCCCCCCCCATTGAATGGGGACGCCGCGGCCGAAACACGCACATGCAAGTAGATGCCAAATTGCAAATGCATGCAAAAACGAACGCCAATGCGTGCGTGCTGGGAGACCCTCTCCCCGCAGGGACAGAACCATCGGGAATCGGGACCATCCTTGGGGCACCCCCAGCAAGGAACCGATTGTTTGTGGTCTCCCAGCCGCCCGCGGGCGCCCAAATGCGGAACGACCCCCATGGGGCAAGGTGGCGCCACGCCAAGAGCAACTAACACCGCACTGCGCTCATATGCACATGTGTGCAGTGTGGCAAGAAAATGCATCGGGATCATACTTGGTGCAACCACAGCCATGGACGGAATGCTAATGGTCTTCTAGCCGCCCGCAGGCGCCCAAATTACCTCCTGTGCATGAGGGCGCTGCGGCCGAAATATGCCTCGGTGGAAGGCCCAACCCCCTCGTAAGGAGGGACAAACTGTGGGCAGCACCAGTGTTAGCTGGCCGACCGAAGCACCCTTCAGACAGTTTGAGAATATTAGGTCTACCTAGCCCTCCACGCCAAGCGCCGATACATCACGCTACCGAGGACCCCGCGTACCTATAGTATGGCTGGATGCCTGATAGCTGAAATGAAGCCTGTGAGAATGATGTTGGTGGCCGTTGCCCCGCCGATACCGCTGGTGGCGCCAGTCAAGAGGAGATGAGGGAGGATAGTGGAAAGGATATTGGATAATATTTTGCCCAATGCACATGGAGAGCGAGATGCGGCGCCCACGAGGCAACGAACAGCATGGAACGCGAACTTCGGCGGAAAGCCTCTGATCAGATCCGAGAGAAGGAAAAATCCGAAGGCACGCAACCTTCGGCGAAAAGCCTCTGGCAGCGTCCAAGAGATAATATATATATGTAAAGAAAAAACGGAACGATGTCCTCGGCAGAAAGCCTCTGACCGCGCCTCAGGCCAACGCAATGCATGACATATCGCCTGGACAGGCCGCTGCGATAGCTGTAGTAAAACGCAACCAGAATTTCATGAACACATCGGCGGCCCCCTGTCGCAGAGTCTAGCCTAATGACCGACTATCCGCGACTCGCACTTGGGCCCTCGTCGCAGGAGGCGCGCGTTCGGGATCGGCGTCGGGCGCCGCGCCAGGGGCAGCGTCGGGCACGGGCGGGGCCGTCGCAGGGGTGCCTCCGCGGGCGGGGTGGCGGAACAACGGCAAACGTTGTGGACGCGTCGTTGGTGGAGTATCTGTTGAGCGCTTTCCACAAGTCGGCGTCGCCGCCCCTTCTCGACGGCCGGCACTCTGGATCGGCAGATCGTTTGGCAACGCATGCTGCGTGCCATTTGACTGCGTGCGAATCCGCTGCGGCGGACAAGCTCTCCACCGCGGTTGACTCTCGCAGGTCCCGCGACCGCGGCCCATGCGACCGGCGGCAGTCAGTCTCCGCGGGCGCCAGGGACGCCGCAGCGCGAGGCTCGCCAGCGGAACGAACAGAGGTAGCCAGCAGAACAGCTGGAGATCGCTGAGGGGCGCAGGCCTGCATGGGCGGAGTCTTCGTTGGCGTGGCCTTTGCGGTTCCAACTCTGAAAGCGCGACGAATTGGGGCATCTGGATACTTAAAACTAGCGCGTCTTATAAATTCCTCCCGAGCTGTCCTAATGAAAAACTGGGCAAACCGGCAGAAACGTCTCTCGGGAATTCGCCCGTAGAAGGGATCTGCAGATGCCTCGCCAAACGCTGCGCTGCCTCTCGGTATCGTCGGCGCCTCGTTAACGCGGCAATCCACTGTGCCTGGCGAGGAGCGACTCGGGCCACCAGTTTAGAAGCCATCGCTAATAGGCATTGAGTGCGTCGAGTACCGAGCCGCCCCCCATGCCTGTCAACGTGTTCGCGTAAACCATCTAAGCCCACTTCGGCGCCCATCTCTAGACTTGAGTTCTCGAGCTGTTCGCGCGGAGGCGGCAGCGCGGACGCGGCGCATTTGGGCGCCGCACCTTTGACGGGCAATCACCGGCGCGAGCACGCCTGCATACAGACCCGAACGGTCTGAGCCGGCATGAGCCAAGGGGGCGCGGAAATCCTGACGACGACGCCACCCACCTCTCTCGCGCCCCCCTGCGCCCTTCGAGCGACCGGCGCGGATGGCAAGCTTGCGTGCCGATGTGCCCTGAGCACCGCCGTCGCGGATAGAGGCCGCCCTCAAGAACCGCCCCCATGCGCGCCCCCCTGCGGTGTCGAGAAAATATCACGCCTGCTGCGCCCTGGGCGACCGTCGCGGATAGCGGCCGCGCTCATGGGCCACCCCGCGCGCACAGACTATGGTGTCGAGAAAACGCGGCGCCTGCTGTGGCCTGGGCGACCATCATGGATAACGGCCGCGGTCAGTGACCACCCCGTGCGCACCACCTACGATGTCGAGAATATGCCATGCCAGCTATGGCAAGGACGACCGTCATGGATAGAGGCCGCGCTCAGGGACCGCCCCGTGCACGCCCCCTGTGGTGTCGAGAAAACGCCACGCCTGCCGTGCCCTGGACGACCGTCACGGATAGCGGCCGCGCTCAGGGACCACTCCGTGCGCACCCCCTGTGGTGTCGAGAAAACGCCACGCCTGCTGTGCCCTGGACGACAGTCACGGATAGCGGCCGCGCTCACGGACCACCCCGTGCGCACCCCCTGCGGTGTCGAGAAAACGCTGCGCCTGCTGTGGCCTGGACGACCGTCACGGATAGCGGCCGCGCTCAGGGACCACTCCGTGCGCACCCCCTGTGGTGTCGAGAAAACGCCACGCCTGCTGTGCCCTGGACGACAGTCACACATAGCGGCCGCGCTCAGGGACAACCCCCTGCGCACCTCCTGTTGGCGCACATGTGTTGCGTGGTCTGCGTGTCACGTATTTGTGTGTGTAGCGTGCTGGCGTGTGCTGTGCTGTGCAGTGCTGTGCTGTGCTGAGCTGTGGTGAGCTGAGCTGTGCACTGCTGTGCAGTGCTGAGCTGGTCTGGTCTGGTCTGGTCTGTGCTGTGCAGAGGTGCTGCGATGTGCTGTGGAGTGCAGTGCTGCGCTGTGCTGAGCTGAGCTGTTTTGTGCTGAGCCGAGCTGTGCTGAGCAGTGCTGTGTACGCGCTGTTTGTCAATGTGCTGTGTGCTGTGCTGCGCTGCGCTTAGCTGCGATGCGCTGCGCTGCGCTGCGCCGCGCGAGAAGGAGAAGGAGGCGGAGGGGCGAGGCGGACACGCAGGTGCGACGTGGGAATGAGAGAAAAACCAAGCCCCAATAAGCACGCGGGGGACAAAAGCAGGTTCTGGACAAGCTCGGGACTGCCCCAGAGACGATGGGACACGCGAGCTTGCCGCAGGATCTTAAGTCAAACAGCGCACTGAGTTGGGACTTGGCCAGTGAAGCCCCCGAGATGGACAGGCAGACTCTGGAGGACAAGCCGTTCCCGCAGCGCTGAACCTGATGGCCGTTCGGGCTCGGCGCTATGCGCAACTCCGTGGGTTTAGCTCTAGGCCTTGCCATGCAAACCTGAACGTCGGGGAAGCGGTGCTTTGACAAATTCCCTAGAATTCTTGCGCTGAGCATCGCGAGAGCAGAGCCTGCCTGGCCCCCACGTCTCGGAGGCGCCGCGAAGGGGGGGGGGGCCTCGCTGGCGGCCGTCTTCGACGGCGAATCCACCGCGCGGTGGCCGCGCCGCGACCAGGCTGGGCAACCCCAGCGCGCATGCCTGCGAGAAAGTCCCATGGTCGGGCACCATGGACAACTTCGCTGAATTTTCGCCTCGGCCGAAAACCGCTTGAAACAACTCTTCCCGGAGCTCGCCGGCGGGGGGGCCAGTGCAGTCCTGGAGGCCCCTGGGGCCAAACAAGAATCAGAGCGGCAGTCTACTCCCACGCCAGGGGCGCCAGGCCCACAATGCCCGAGGATCGCGGGAACTGCAATCAATCCAGCACCGCGCATATCCTGCGCGGGGCGGGGGAGAGGCCCCGACGCACGGGCTGAGATGCGCCCCTGCCCAGCAACGTCCAAGACGGATCCGTTCGAACATAACCTGCCTTAGACAGCCCCATCAGGCGGGAGGGCACCTCGCCTTCTCGCGCGCCCTGGCCATGTCGGCCGCGGCATTCGCCGCCAAAAAACAATGCATGGAATCGCGCCCCGCCGCGAACGACTGCTCCCGCATTGCCCATTCACAAGCATCCCTTTCGTCCCATAAGAATCCTCGCCGATGTTCCTGCCCCCGCACAGCCGCTACATACCTCGCGCACTTACCCCGGAGACGCAAGTCTTGCTGAGAAGAAATTGGGCGGCGTCCTTCGACACCTGGCCTCCGCAAAGCGTGTTGCGCAGATGGAGATATCTCAGATGGCGTCGCTCCATCTCTGAGCATTCAGCTCCGCAGCGGATTCACATCCACAAAGCATTCGTCAAAGAGAAGAAGAACGCTGCGGGGGCAAAGCCGATCAACTCCGCGGGCCGCGCAAGCCTTCGCCGCCGTAGCTGCCGATCGGATATCCTCAGGGCGGAAGTCGAAGACGGAGACGGGGGGTCCCGCGCAAATATCAACTGCTGAAACATACCATCCGGATCCTCTCGAGGTCTTCCCCGTGGCCCCTTGGCGCCCCATATCGTCTCCCAGTCCTGGGGGTTGTGCTCAATGAGGCGCGAGGGCCCCGGGGGTGGGGGGGGGGCTGACCTTGCTCTGGAAGCGCAGGGCGCCAACCAACAGGGGGCTTCGCATGCTGACGCGGTCGGCCCGCTCCTGCCTGAACTGCCTGCCGCGCAAGAACTCGCCATCGATTAGCTCCAGAG